TCTATCTATCTATCTATCTATCTATCTATCTATCTATCTATCTATCTATCTATCTATATCTTCCTTCATTTCATTTCTCCCTTCCCTCCCTCCATCGCTTCTTTCTACCTTCCTTCCTTCCATCCATCTATCCCTTCCTTACCTCCATCTCCTTCCTTCCTCCCTCCCTCCCTCCCTCTTATCTCTTCCTTCCATCATCTATTCTTCCCTTTCTTCCATTATCATTCATTTCTTTCTTTCCTCCTTCCCTCCCATCCTCCTTCCTTCCTTCCTTCCTTCCTCTCTGTCATCTCTCCCTTCCACCCATCCATCATCTATCCCTCTATTCATTCCTTCCATTTATCCCTCTCTCCCTTCCTCCTTTCTATCTTTCTTTCCTCCCTCCCTCTTTCCTTCCCTCCTTCCTTCCTGACATCTCTCCTATCCATTGATCCATCCATTCATCCATTCCTTCCTTCCTTCTTTCCTTTTTCTAAGAGCGTTTTTCATTTTTGGTACAGAACTTTGCCAGCCAGGAGAACGAAAAGGAAAACTTTGACCAGCGCTTCTCCAGCCTATTCAAGAAAGGACGGAGGAAGACGGTGGTGCGGAATCTGGGAAAAATAATCCACTATTCCAAACTCAAATTTAAGTTTCAGCACTGCCAGGTGAGATTCCCCCATGCCATGTCAGATGCTCGAAGCTTCGGAAGGCCTCTGGGTCGGTGCGTTTGCGACCCATTGGTTTCTTCTGCTTTTCATAGCGTTCAATTCTTCATCTTTATTCGGCGCGCCAGCATCCCGAAGACTGACTGAAATGAATAAAAAAGATCTCCATGTCTTTTTTTCTTCGGCAGGAAGCCAATGACTGCTATTTGGAGCTTTTTCAAGAGTTCCTCTATTTTCAGGCACTCGGCCCCAACGGACACAAGTATCAGGTAAATGAGGATTTGGTTACCCATAATTAGAAACAACCACTACCTCTGGTTCCTGCTTCCATTCTTAGCGTTTCTGAGCACAGCATGGGAAGCTTCCCATTAGAAAACCCCAAAGCCATGATGGCGAACCTATGGCACATGTGCCACAGGTGGCACGCAAAGCCATTTGTGCCGGCACGCAAGCTGCAGGCAAACTTACCTCACTGCGCATGACCGCGCCTCAAAGCTGATTTTCGGCTGGTTTGAGGCCTTTTTCAGCCTCCCAGAGGCTTGAGGAAGGCTTCTGCAGGCTTTTCAGGATGAAAACTAGCCCCGTTTCATCACTTCCTGTTTTTCCAAAAATACCGGAAGTGACGAAACGGGCCTAGTTTTTGGCCTGCAAACCTGCAGAAGCCTGCAGAAGCCTTCCTCAAGCCTCTGGGAGGCTGAAAAAGGCCTCAAACTGGCTGAAAATCAGCTGTGAGGAGCAGTGCAGGTAACGGGGAGTGGGTGGGTGGGAATTGCGCGCATGCGTAGGAGGGATGGGGGGCGCGCATTGCCTTCTGGGTGCTGGCACGTGAGCAAGAGCGTGCAAGCACGCGCCCAGTTTTTAGCACAAGAGCCCAAAAAGGTTAGCCACCACTGCCCCAAAGCCAGTCAGGGTGGACCATAAGTTGCTCAAACAAGCCATCCCAAACCTTTGTGAGACAATCTCTGATGCTTTAAAGCAACCCTGTTTTTCCATAGGTTTTGGGTTCATCCATCCCCTCTTTTTGGCCTCTACCTTTCAGGAAACTGACTGAAGTTTCACATTTGTGATTCATTTCAGTGACACGGGCTGCAGAACGAAATGCTTCTGTTTGTTGATGCTTTTTAAGGGTATTTTTGAAAGTCAGAATTGAACACTTCCATAGCCTCTTTGCTGTGTCTGTTCCATGTAGGGAGTGGGTTCCCAATCCACCAATTTTAGACCAAATAGACCTGGCTTTGAATAATGTCCCCCTCTGGGACACCTTCTTGGCAAAAGTCAGATCCATCCTTAGAGATTATAGTCTGAGGTCTTTTCGTTGCCAACAAACTATACTTTTGCTACCCAGACATGAAAAGTGCCTTCATCAACTTGATAAAAGACAATTTGACAATGGAGATAAGGTCAACTAGTGACTTTTTATCCTCCTGCAGGGTTTGCTACCCCTGACCGAACTGCAGCTGACGAAACTTGAAAACGAAAACGGAATTCAGGAAGATCTCCACGCTTTTCAGATTGCAGGTGAGGACAAATTACAGGTCAGGACAGAATAAGTCTGAATCCTTTGCAAGCCCTCCACAGCCTGTTCTGGCCTAGGCTTTCCCCAACAGAACGAAGCCGACTCCTTGTCCCGATAAACCCCTTTTATTTAGTTTACAGTAAATTCCTCTCCAGCAAAGTCCTGGTCAACAGTCTTTCAAGTTTTTCCACAATTGCAGACCTTTATCAGGCTTGGAGAGTTGCCAGGCCGATATCTTTCAGATGCCACAGTGTAGCAGACAATATTTGGCAAGAATGCAGGAACAGATCTTCACCCAAGTGAACTAATAGTCTCCTGCAAAACCCCACTCCCCTTTCGCTCCTCTTTTATTCCCTTTGGAAAGGGCTATTCATTGTCCACCTGTGGCTTTACTCCCAAGTCGACCCTTGTTCCTTAGCTGTTTCCTTCTTCTGGCAGCTCTGCGTATGCACACACTGGGAACAGGCTCCAGCTGCTCTTCTTCCCCACTGATGTCCGACTCCAAAGGCAGCTAACTGTCAGACAGCCCTGGCTCCATCTCTGCCTCCGACGCAGAGCATTCATTAGAGCTTTCCCCAGACTACAAAACTGGCCCAGGTTCCTCCCCAACCTCCTCACTGTCCGAATCTCCTGCCAGCTTCGCTGGCCGCTGGTGAGCCACAGCCAGCCCACTGATATTTGAAGACAGCTATCATGCCTCTTGCAACCTTCTCTTCTGCTTCTAACCTCGCCTGGGTCTTTCAACCCACTCCTCATAGGACTTGGTTTCCATGTTGGTCCCAACATATTTGAGTGTAATCTGTTGTTTTAGTTTTCACCTGGTCCAGAAGCACGTAGGCTGAGCGCATAGGCGAGCACATTCATAGGTGTTCAAGAGAATCCACAATCTTTTTCTACGTCACGCCCTTTAAACTATTATTCATAGCGCCATAAGAAACACTGCTCTCAGCATGACTAAGGAACCAGTCTTATTCTCCCAGGAAACAGTTTCTGCTAAGGATCATGATTCAGAACAAGGGGAAGCAGAGAGAGAGAGAGAGAAAAGAGGAGAATTTGACAGACTAAAATAACTGCTGAGTTGCAAGCAGTAGCTCGAAGATGTATTGGGTCCAGAAATCTTTCTTGGAAAGAAGAATGGAGGTCTTGAATTCAGTTGTCATATAAATAGCATGTTTGGAAACAAGTCTCAGACTTGTGGGAGAAACTTTTTATGGAAAAAAGGTAACTAAATTCTGAATTGGCTCTGCACTTTATTTAGATGGGAAGAAGATGGAAAGATGCAAAGCATCTTTTTTCCTTCCTTAGATCTGCTCATTCTCTAGTCAATTTCACATTGGGGGCTTGTCAATTTCAAAATTCCTTCTAGAACTGGTAAAAAAAAAAAAAACACGACCTGGCTTGATTTACCTGTATTTTTTTTTTCCACCTGGTGGATTTTATAAATTCTATTAGCATTGCCCATTCACAAGTAAACTCAAAACAGCTTCCAAAGAGGGTTGAAAACCTACACCAAAAAGGCAATAGTAAAACTGCAAATCGACAATCTTTCAACGTTTTTAAACGTTTTCCCTCCAGTTTTTTAAGTCTAAAAGACAGCAGAGTTAGGGCTGCACAAACTGAACCAACACTTTCCCTTAATAGTATTATAATGAATAAAATAGCTAGTACTATAACTTTGAAATGCAATTTGTTCCCTGGTAAGACTGAATCCGTTGTTGTGCTAACACAGGCAGACTGCTCTGGTCTTTACTAGTCCTCTTCCTCCTTTATAAACTGAATGACTACTATGATATTTATCAGGGTGTAGTTTGATAAGGGTGTTTTTTTTTCTTCTGGAAATTAAAGACGGACTGAATGGGGTTGCTAAGGAAAGAGCCTGACAGCTTCGCCAGAAAAATGAACAGCAGGATGCTATGTTGTCCTGTTATGCGTGGGTGCCTCTAACGGTCAGTGAGTGGGAAATATATCTCACCCTCCCCCCTGTTCTCTGCCTCAGTTTCCCCAAATTGGCACAATATGTGTGTGGGGGGAAAAGTTGCAGAACAGGGAAGGCGTTTAATTATTCTCTCGTTTGTCTTCAAACACCAAGGGGCAATGCCAGGCCAAAGTACTCATTCTGCCGATAATGGCTTGTTATGACGGCTTGTGGCGGGTCTGGGCTTATCTTGGCAGTCCAAGCAGCACCAGTTATGGCCCGTAATTTGTTTGATTAAGAAGGCAAGGCAGGAAATGATTCAGGTCTGAGCTGAGGTTTGGACGGGAATTGGCGTGCGCGCAACTAAGCAGAGTTTCTCTGTTTACCATCGGAGCCGGGTAAGGGGACCAAGAGGTGATCCAGCTGGGGGAGGAAAAAAAGCTGACGCTGTTTCATCCATTCAGAACTGATAGGCAACCTGGCTCCTTGAGATGGTGCCCAGGATTCAATCCTGAAGGAGAACGCTAGCTTTCCCCAACAGCAGCTCAAAAAAAAAAAAAGAAAGAAAGAAAGAAAACTCAAATACAGATAGTCCTTGACATGCAACAGTTCAAAGTTACGACGGCACTGAAAAATGTGAGTTACGACTTTATATGACCGTTGTAGCATCTCTATATAGTCACAGGATCAAAATTTAGGGCCTTGGCCACTGGCACGGACTTACGACGGTTGTAGCATCCCGGGGATCACATGCTCCCCTTTTGCGACCGTCTGACCAGCCAAGTCCATGGAGAAAGCCAGAGTCACTTAACAACCGTGTGACCCACTTAACGACTGCAGTGATTCACTTAACAACAGTGGCAAGAAAGCTCGTAAAATGGAGCGAAACCCCCGTTTAACCAGGGGTGGGGTTCAAATTTCTTAACAACTGGTTCTGTGGGTGTGGCCTAATTTGTGGGTGTGGCTTGGTGGTCATGTGACTGGCTGGGCGTGGCTTGTATGTAAATATTATAAATATTTATGTAAAGATTGAATGTTTTTATTAAAAAAAATAGCAACTTTTACCCCAGATCAGGCAAAGCAGGGAGGCAGATTGAGTTGCTCACAGAATCACAGAGTCATTCACAGATCTACCTTTCTGCAATCTGCTGCCTGAGTCTGTCACATAAAATTGACTTGCTAGCAAGCAAACTCACAAAATTAACTCACAACACACCAAATATCTCCCTTTTAACAATTTTGGGCTCGATTGTGGTTGTAAGTGTATGGAAGGATCCCTGCATATTGGTTAATCATTCAGCCAGGAGGTAGAGAAGGGAAATTGGCTATAAATTTGGACCGCCCCCACAATGCTGGGCTTTTATTCCTGTTTTCCTCTTGGGTGACTTGTTTACGGTTAGGAAGGAATGCTAAGCTGCACCCCAGAGGAAGAAATAAAAATGCAGAATAGGATGAGAAATGTTCAGCTTTGTTTGAGTTGCTGGATAACAGGAACCAAGCAGAGCCCAAAGGGCTTTTGGGTTCTGTGAGTAAAATAAACGGAGTTTCAGACAAGGTAAAGTTGTGTCAACACATAGAGGCTGGAGATTGGGAGGGGAAACAATTTCAGGGGTGATAGAATAACAGGTCTGTTTAACGTTGCTAAATTCTTTTGATCTCAAGTTGAGTCTTTCTCAAACCGTGTCCACTGAAGCTTTAAAAAGGACCTTCTCTTAAAAAAAGAAAACAAAAGGATAGCATTTCAATTGGAAAAGCGGTTCCATTTTGTCCTGAGGGGCTAGTTTTCTATATGCAGGGAAATCTATACATATAAAAGCGAAATACCACTCACGCATCATCACAAAATCTCCAGAACCGTAAAGCCTACAAACTTGAAATTGGGCATGTATATTCCTCTTGGCTTCTAGGTGCTCACTAAGAAAGGATTCTTTGAAATGACCATCAGAGCAGCATTATTATTATTATTATTATTATTATTATTATTATTATTATTATTATTATTATTTACGCTCTGATGTTAAGGAGTTCTACTCCTGCTCCCCACCTGAAAAGAAATCTCTTCCAAATTGAAAACACAAGCAGAGGAGTTTCAGTTTCAGTTTCAGAGCACCAAACAGCTTTAGCACAGAAGAGTTGAGCTAAGCCACACCCAGGCTCCTTGCTGTCTCCTTCTTGCTCACGCAGCAAATACTCTTTCAGTTTTCAAACAGCCCTCCACTCTCTCACACACTGACAGGACACTAGCCAGATGGATACCGACGGATGCTGGTAGGCAGAGGCAGAATTTTTCCCCCCATATTTTCCTCCCCCCAAACTAAACCCAATTACATAGTTTCATATCGAAGCACGGGTATCGAGTAAATTGATAAGATGAAAAGTTTTGGTCGTGTTTGCCTTCCAGTTGCATGGACAAGGACTCCCTTTCTGTGACTTTCCTAAGGATAATTCATTTTCTTTTCCAGCTATCGGGCTGTGCTCCTAGTCAGTTTGTTCCTTTGCAAAAAAAACCAAAAACCAACTGTGTAAAAACTCACCGGTGCAAATAAACTCAACGCCTCTCTCTTGCTCTCCAAGGTCCCCTGCTCTCCCCGCTGACCTTCTACTGCCCTAGCCAAGCAGAACTGAAGCACTGGCTCTACTACCTGGACAAACAGATCAATTTGAGTGGAGGACGGCCAGATGTGACCCTGGAGACTCAGGTGAAGATCTAGAAGGGGAATGGGAGACCAGCCCAAATGGTGGCGCCGATGCCAGAGCTCTGCAAAAGATGGGATGGTTGGGCCATGCAGTGTGCCTTCAATCTAGGTTAAAGAGGGAGGGAGGGAGGGAGGAAGAGTGAGAAGGGAAGGAAAAGGAAGAGAAAGAGGGAGGAAGGGAAAAAGGAGAAGAGAGGGAGGGAGGGAAGGAGGGAGGGGGAAGAAGGATATAAGGGAAGAAGGGAGAGAGGGAGGGAGGAAGAATGAGAAGGGAGAGAAGAAGGAAGGGAAAGAGGGAGGAAATGAGGAAGGGAAGAAGGTGAAGAGAGGGAGGGAAGGAGGGCAGAAAGAAGGAAGGAGTTAGGGAGAGAGGGAGAGAGGGAGGGAGGAAGAAGAAAGAAAAGATGGAAAGCGGGAAGGAAGGAAGGGAAGGAGAAGAGAGGGAGGGAAGGAAGGCAGAAAGAAGGAAGGCGTTAGGGAGAGAAGGAGGGAGGAAGAAGAAAGAAAAGACGGAAAGGGGAAAGGAGGGAAGGGAAGAAGGAGGAGAGAGGAAGAGAGGGAGGAAGGAGGACAGAAAGAAGGAAGGAGTTAGGGAGGGAGGAAGAAGAAGAAATAAAAGAAGGGTGTGGAGGGAGGGAAGGAGGAAGCAAGGGAAGAAGGGAGGGAGGGAAGGGGGATAGAAGGAAAGGAGAGGAAGGAGGGAAGGAATCGATGGGAAAGTTGAACAGCATGTCAAAGCGCATAGAGGCCAATGGGGATCTCTCTCCCCTTTATGGCTTGAGGCCTCCCAGCATGAGTCATTTTGCTGGGTTGAGGAAGAGAGCTAGAGACAGCTAGAGAGAGAGAGAGAGAGAGAGAGAGAGAGAGAGAGCTCAGTGGATGCCATGCAAGGGAAGGCCCATCTATCCCTTTGCCAAAAGTTCAGCTGGAGGTGGAAACTGGCACGGCCGGTTTTTCCGGCAGCCTTTATCCACCGGCGGGCACTCTGGGTAGAGGCCCTTGGAGAGCTGCGTGCCACGGAAATTTCGGTTTTCTTGTTGGCCGATGAGTGTACGGTACGTCCAAAGGGACGGTAAAGTTAGTCTAAGTCTAAGCGGAGGAGGGAAGTGGTGGGACGGATGCTCTGATGAACGAGGTTTGCTCTCCACCCCCCCCCACCTGCTTTTTTTTAGAGAGCCTGGACGCAGGGCCTGCTGGGCAAGGAGCAGCTGCGGTGGTCGATGCAAAACGCCCACGTGCAGGAATGGAAGGGCACCCAGCGCAAGTCACTGGGCGACATCCTTTGTGTCTCCAAAGTCAAGTTGCAGCATTTACCTTTCCAGGTGCAGCACCCTTGATAGGAGGAGGGTGGGGAGTGGGGATGGGTGGGGCTCATCCTGGGAGGGAGTGAATGAATCTCAAGGGGGAGGAACAGAAATGCCATTTTCTTTTGGGACAAAAACAATAGTTGAGGTATCTATAGCTCTGTTCTATTTCTATTCTGATTTCTATCCTATCATATCCTATCCTAATTTTATTTTGCATTCTATTCTACTCTGATTTCTATTCTATCCTATCCTATCGTAACCTAATTTTATTTTGCATTCTATTTTATTCTATTTCTATTCCTATTCTTTTCCTATTCCTATTCTAGTCTAGTCTATAGTCTAGTCTATTCTGATTTCTATCCTATGCTAATTTTATTTTGCATTCTATTCCTATTTCTATTCTATTCTATTCTGATTTCTATCCTATGCTAATTTTATTTTGTATTCTATTCCTATTCCTATTCTATTCTGATTTCTATCCTATCCAAATTTTATTTTGCATTCTATCCTATCCTATCCTATCCTATCCTATCCTATCCTATCCTATCCTATCCTATCCCATCCCATTCAATTCTATCTATCTATCTATATCTATATCT